GAGAAATTCAACCTCGAACGGCCGAGGTTCAGTCTGCCAGATAGATCCAAATTTCACCTGCCGGAGAGACCGAAGTTCAGTTTACCGGACAAGTCGCGTTTCCACTTGCCGGATAAGTCGAAGTTCAACATCAAGAAGCCCAACATCCGTCTGCCCAGCGCACTCGTTCGCGTTAAACGGCCGCCTCCCTTACGCGAGCAACAACAGCAGTATTCGACAGAATCCACTGCTGGCTCTAAGCGTAATATCTTTGATTTCGCCACGTATCCGCGCATCTTCGATAAAAAGTCCAAGAAGCGCGGCGAGTATGCGACGTCCTCGCCTAAAGACTCCAGGATTCAATCAGCAGAGAGCGCGACCTTTCCTCGTACTCGGAAGACAAAATCTTTTGGCACCAGGTGGGTGCAACGTTTTGGAGATTCGGCTTACGTTCAGGATCAAAATCGTCCAGAGGAAGCAGCAGGAAGCGAGGGATCTCCTCCTTGGCATCAAAGTTCAATGGAAGAACCGCCGAGATTGTCCGCTGGAACGGAGGAGGAGATAATGGCGGCGGCTCATGCGATTCCATGGGAAGATACAAAAAAGCGAGAACAGTACGAAGAAGAGGAGATACAGTATATGGACTACGAACAGGAATCATCAGAGATGTCGGATCGGCATCCCGCTCCTCCGAAAAGATCCCACAAATCACGAAGGCGGGAGGAGTCGTATGAACACGAGGAAGTAATGGAGATAGATCCGAAATTATACGATCAAGAGATGAAACACGTTCACCGAGATGACACCGAAGAGAATGAAGATGCGGCAGTACAGGATGATTGGCATGCAGAACAGCAAATGATGCACAAGGAGAAATTCAGATCGATTCCGAGGTCGCGATCATTGGACGAAGATATGCCACGAGTTCTGAAGCAAGAAAGATACGAAGGAGCGTTTATGGCGGTGGATCCGAGGCGATTTGGACAACATAAGATGGCATCCGAAGAGGAAGAAGGCGAAGAAGAACGCGAGCCTTCCTCGATACAGTCTGATCGAGAGCAACAAGCATCGAGCGGCAGTTCCTGTGATCGAAGACGTCGCGGAGTGATAGAGGAGATCGACTCGGACGAGTTCTTTTTACGACAGAGCGGTATCAGTCAGGATGACATGATTCTGGGCAATTACTTGACCGATGAAATCCGAGATGCTCTCAGAGCAGAAGTCATCAATGTGTTGCAAGATGACGAGCTTCCATCTACTCCGCCTCAACGTCCTGTGAGAATGCGGACTTTGAGAAAGCACAAAGAAAATTTAGCAGAGTCCAATGAGGCAGTACCACCGGTCAGACCAAAACGGGAACGATCGGCAGCGGTGCGACATAGTCGAGAGGCATCGATCGAGATGTTTCGTGAGCGCACCAGGAGTGATTCTAGAAGTGATTCTAGACATCGCGTGGTATACCAAACGGAGGGAGAACAACCGGAACCGTTACAGGAACCATTGGATGATATAGTCGTGGTGAAACCAGTGCGCAGAAAGTCGAGGTCATCCCTGCGTAGTCATTCGCAGCCACCGATGGAGACGTCGATACTCTCTCCTTCGACACCCATTACTGCCGCACCCGATTCATCTGCTATTCTTTCAACTGTGCCACCGATCGTACCAATACGCAGAAAGCGTTCGCATCGCGAAACAATGATGGACCGAAGAAACGGCGACGTAAGTGCACCGATTTGTAACGGACATCGCGACGACTGGGAAATCGAGATCATCGAATCCAGGAAGCCGATAATTCCAGCAAGATCGTCGCGATCACGGCAATCGCTAACCGAGCGATTTGCAAATGGCGATGTTGTCATGTCCGCAAGTCACGAGGACATCGAGAGCTTAGATGCGCGACTTCAACGACAGGACACTGTGCCAGAATCGGTACCGATACCGCCGAAAAGACGATCCCGTTCGAGGACCATGTCAGTCGTTGACGAGGACAGAACATCGCACGGTGCGGAGTCTCTGCCAGAAGCTGGTTACGTCGAAGAGGACATACCGCAAGAGGAGGAAGAGAATAGCTCGGCACGAGATATCTCGGGCTACGCAATCGTAGAGAAGCGAGAAAAACCGCCCAGACCACCACCGCCCAGAAGAAAACGCGACAAGTTCGCTACGACGCCGAGACCGACCCCGCCTAAGCGACCTCAACGAGCATATAGTACTCTAAGACCCACTACAATAAGAGACGTCAGCATGACGTCGGATACGATCATCAGTATGACTCTAATATCATCCGAACCTGCGCCATACATCGAGGTCAGCGCGGATGATGTTGAACATAAGGATTTTCGCAGCGGTGAATTGCTCGACAAGATCCAAGGCCGCCCGCTTCCGGCGCCACCGCGACCACCCAGGATAAGAAAGGAACATGCGATGACTGAACGACCTCGCACTCCGTTTGAATATGAAGAGACAATGGAGACGACGGCGGCGACACAGACTGATCCATTGCCAGACGATATGGTGATTGAGGAATTAGAGATCACCCAGGCGAAACTTATAATGACACCTTCTAGATCAGGCTCGCAGATAATGGTATCGATGGAACATATACCCAGTCCAAGCAGAACGACCACACCTCCCGTACCTCCGTTACCAATCCTACAGTTTTTACAAAAAGAGGAAGAAGAAGAAGAAGAGAAAGAGGAAGAAGGAGAGGAAGAACGGCTTCCAAAAGAAGAGGACATCCGAATGGCATACGAGACTGTATCACTAACGTCACCATCGCCCACGAGAGAAATCGACTTTCGAGAGGAATCGAAGCATAGATCTGCACCGCATCTGGAGGAACACGTCACGGAAGAACCACAATCGCGACCTCAAGTTAGGCCGAGTTTTCTGTCCGATGAGCCGCTGAGAATCAGCAGTCTCGAAGTCGGAGATTTAAAAGTTGATCGACTGAGCGTGTCGCAGATAGAAGCGCACAAAATTGTGGCGTCCGAAGTGGACGCGATGATGATTACGGCATCGGAATTGAGAGGCGGTGATTCCATGGAGGAAAGTTTGTCGCCGGCCATCATCAGAGAGCTGATAGCGATCAGGAGTCACTTGGAGACTGTGATGACTACCCAGGCACAAGAAAGATATCGCGAGAGCGAAAAGGAGTCCGCGAGTCACAAGATAACCGACATTCCTATCAAGGCTAATAGTCCAGTTCAAGAGCGACAACCTGCATCACAGGATATTCCGACGGAAGTGGCGAAGCCCAGCGAGACTGTCGTAAATGAACCAACGTCTACGAAAGATGAGAAGACCGACGCTGGCGAGGATCAAAAGGTTGTTAAAACAAACGTAGTAGATGTCAGAGACAAAGAGATATCACATCCCCTCTCAGTTGCTCAAGCCAAAGAATTCCCTTCCCCACAGACACTTATGATAGATGAATTAGAGTTCAAGGGTAAAGAATCTACCACACACTTGTTCACGATCGCTCAAGATAAGTCCTTACGAATTTTAGATTCCGAACATCCCCTAACTTTGAGTCCGCGAACCACGTCGGATGAATCTCGTGCCTCATATCCTCCATCGGATGCGCCTTCAACCCAGCCTTCCGAATTGAGAGAATCGCCGGATCGTGTCGGCGAATCTCCGAGTATCTCTGTCCAGACTACTACTACTACTATTACTACTACTGCTACTGCTACTGCTACTATCACTACTGCTACTAGCGAGCTGGGCGCAATGTCTACGGATCTTCGTAGCAGCAAGGACGATGTGTCCGACAGTAAAGAACAGACTCCTCGCAAGTCAAGATCTAGATCCTCCTCGCCTACTAAAGGTATCTTACGGCAAACCGCATCTCCGGTTCGTTCATTGCCACCAGCCATTTCCGTAACCCCTGATACGTCGACCCCTGATTCAACCGTACCAGGACACGGTGGTACCTCTGCGGACGCTAAACCACAGCGTGCCGTCATTTCTTATTCTTCGGACACGAGACACGGTGTCCCTAAAGACAGTCAACCACAGCGTGCTGTTATTTCCCAGTCTTCCGATGCGGGAACACAATCCCTTACGGAAAAGCAAAGGGAGTCCTCTCAATCGCCAGTATCTTCCTTTCCTTTGAGCTCGACTCACTTCATCGCCTTTCCAGCTTCCGAAATTCCAGCTCAGTTCTTTTCTCTGAGTGAAACGCCAACAAGTCAACGCTCTGATATAGAACCTGGCGTTATAGATACTACGCAGCAGCTTCTTCAAGCACTCCGATTGGCTGGTATTAAAGCCATGAGGTATTTTATAGGGTATTTAGCGTCTACGTTAAGTATGGACGACACGAGAGAGAAGATAAGAGATGTGGAATTAACGATATGCGCCTTGTTACTTCTGATCGCAGGCTTGTTGATATATTATTTCAGTAGCACACGGATTGTAACACATCATCATCATTGGGATTATTTTAATCCCCCTCAATAGCACTTCCACAATCCAATTTGCCAAAGAAGTCCAAAGAAGTCGTAAATAGTTTATTGGTTTATAGAAGTTAAAATTTCATATTGTATAAATTTGTTTTGTACAACAATTTTATCTTGAAAAAAAATACTAGGATATGACGAAGGAATTCGAATTGAATTAGAGCTCTTGTACACATATCAGAATGAAGTGCCAGGTTTGTAAAAAATAAATTGTAATTATATTATTAATATATGTCAAATATATAATTAAAAACTTTAATATTTAAAGAATACTATTTACAATAATTCTTAGTATAATTTCATGTGCTATATACATATACATACATCAGTCAATAATATATATAACATTTAAGAAAAAAAATTATTTAATCGAGCCTTTATTAATTTATATTATAATTTTCGTCAGAGAACACAATTTCTATTCTTTTCTCCAAAAAGTCGATACCTTGTTTTCTCTACATTATATTAAAAATAACATAAATTTAAAGATTTAATATTTTTGATATAACTATTAATAATTTTATTCTTTTTTACAATCATGATTTTATACTTAAAAAAACTGAAATTAAAAATAAAATGAATAATATCTATTGTGTCTTCCATTTAATTAAAAGAATTGTTAACAAAAAGGCATTTTATATATCCAATTAATCACAAAATCAATCAATGTGAAAAAACAAAAAAAGAAATTAAAATTTTAAGATTCAGCTGATTTTACAGCAAACAAGGTTCGACTATATAATATTTTTTCTTATTGAATAAATATTGATGAATATTTCTACACTATTATGAATTTTGTTATAATTATAATAATAAATCAATTATTATATATAGAGTATACAAATGTTTGCTATTCAAATTTGTTGATAAATATATGTTATAATGAAAAACGAAAAAGTACAATTAAAGTACAATTAAAAATAAATTAACCGCATTGTCAAATAAGTGTGTGACAAAATATCATGATCTATCATAATAGTATATTGGTAATATTATATATAATATCGCATTTAAAAAATTATTGCCAACAAAAATACCTGCAGTTACTGGAAGAGATCCTCTTCGTATACTTTAAGTTCCCGTCTGTCTTTATGTGCACTTTTCTGTGAATAATTAGCCGCTATTGGTGACCACATAGAACTAGACATAGTGTCGCTAACTGGCTCTATTATCGGCTGCCTTCTTGCTAACGATACTTTTAATTGGATGGACGAGACCATGCTACCATCCATTTCACTTATTGCTCTCTCAGCAGCTTCGGCCTTTTCAAAGGTTATAAAGCCATGGCTTGGATAAGAAAGAACAGAGTTGATTATTAATAATTGTATCGAAAATATCTACTAAAACTTTGAGTGAACATTAATTAATTTGTGTATAAGAAAAAACATGATTTATATTTACTTTTTCTCTGCTTCCATGGAAATATGGATAATATTTCCAAAACTTTGGAAATGTTTCTTTAGATAATCCTCTGTTATTTTGTAACCACATACGTATATTGTATTTCCTGCACGTGGTTTAATTTCTTGTTTAGCAGGAGCTGGAGCATCACTGGTATTTCTCTCTCCAGTGTTTTGAGCACCAACAAAGTTATTATATAAATCCTTGACTTTTGGCCTCACTGTCTCCGTTTCTTCTTCTTCCTGCATTGCTGAAAATGGTTGGTAGGAACTAATCGTCTTTTCTGTACTGTTTAACTTCCTTTCTAGTCCGCGAGATCTCTTGAAAGTTTGCTCCGGTCGCTTAGGAGTCTTTGGAGCTGTGATTACGCCAGACTTAATCAACTTCTTGGCAACTTCGCGAGCATCTCTTGCTTCTGTAGGCCGTTTTGGAGCTTGAGGAATGCGTTCTGCTTCTTGTTTAGGAGCTTTTAGATCTTGTAGCGCTTTTTTCTATAATTTGAGGAATGATTGACAAGAATTAAAAAGATAAGGTAAATACTTTATACAGATACACAGATATAATAATTGTTATAAAAAAAAAGATGATCTTTGTATGTAGATTAAACAAAAATTTAAATTAATTGAGTTATGAATTAATTGAGAAATGGATATCTAACAGATAAATTAAATTTTATCGCATATTTCATATAAAAACATAACCTATACCTTTCTCTTCAGCTTGTTGAACTTAGTCTGCAGCATCAACTCTTCTTCTGTTAGATTTGACGGAAAATGCAGGTATACCATATTTTGCATGTAATATCAACAATGACTTTTTGCAATATTCTTTACGACTTCTTAAAAAAAAATTGGAGAATAATGGAGAAAACGCGTCCTGCGTCTAATGTTTGATCACATTTAATGACTGCGTTCAACAAAGAAAACAACTGTGTAAAATTCTTTAATATGATTGGTCTTGCTCTTAGTTCCTCATTGGATCTAAATGTATAAACCAATCAAATTGAAGAATTTTAGTTGCAAAGCTGCTTTCTCCGCAGCCATTATCACATCTGATGTGTACTATACTGCACTTGAGGTACATATAATTTTATTTACTGTCACTTTTCACAAATTAATTTGCAAAATCTGATTATAAAAGAGACATTGATGTCCGAGTTTCTGATTGGTAGTTTGATGTGTATACTGATTGGGTATCCCTTCCTAAGTGAAGCAACCATATTGTGACCGCAGCTGTTTACGTAGATGACAGCTGACACGTGGTCGCCAAGCTGTATTGCTACGAGAGTTAATTCATCGGACTATCTGAGTCCATCGTTGATTTCTTGTCATTAAGCTTTCGCATTATAGTAGATTTTTAAATTAAATTATTGCTCTTATAATTTTGCTTGTTTTGACAAATTTTACACTAACGAAGTACGGAATATGTTTATATTAAACAGTTTATATTTATGACATTGAAGTGGTCCAAATATGTCGACGCTGAAGGTGATGCCGTGATGATATCCGGACTTTGATGGGAGTTCGATTTCGAGTTTCTTTTATATATAGAATTTTAATCACTCCTCTCGATCCTTTTTAAGCTTTTTGTATGTCATGGTCTTTCCACTTCCACTGTGCATGACAGAATTGACAGTCCAGTCAAGTGGCTGAGTGGCGGCAAGTGGCGCCAGTGGCTGAGTCAGTCTGACGTCTGACCAAGTCTGACTCTGATATCATTGGGTCCTTGAATGCGTTCTCGCATTTACCGGATCGCACCAGATGCTTCCCGAGAGACTGTCCTCTCGAAAAAGGGAGAACGGACACGTCATAGACACTCGACAAGAGTCAACGTATAAGTTTCTATTCGTTTGACGCTCTCCTATATTTAAACAAGATGTGTATATCAGTGACGGCGCTTGGTCGACGAGGATTTACCCCGAGGGATGTTATGCGACTCGGCGTTAAGCAACTTTATTGCGAATCGTCAATGAACAACGTGCTATCACGACGATGTCCCGCATCGTTGTGCGTCGCCGATGTCTCGCGAGTTCTGGGCTGGTTTCGCGAGAGCTCGAAAATGTTCTCTTCCGTGAGGACTCCGATTTCCCCCGACGTCGTCGTCGACGCTCTGACAAAGCGGCAAGCAAAGGAGTTGGTGTCAAAGCTCACCTCGGAAGAACGTGGTTTGTTCTTGACAGCATTGAACGAATGCAAATCAGCGGAGCAGAAGGCTGGTTATGAAGGTAGACATCGCTTGCTCCAATAAATTTGTAATCTTAGATAAGCATTTGCTATTTAACGAAAGGCTAATCCTCATTTTAAAGATTTACAGATAATTATTTCTTACAAAATTACATATTAATGGAGAAGATATCGATCTTTTATATATTTAGCTTTATATATATGTATATACATATGTGTGTGTGTGTGTGTGTGTGTGTGTGTGTGTGTGTGTGTGTACATATAGGTATAGCATAAAGAAATATATAATAAAATATCATAAAGAAACATATATAATAAAATTCTTGCAAGACAAGTGTTCGCTATTTAACTAGGAGCTAATCCTGATCTTAAAGCTGTAGAGTAGAAAATAACTTCTTATAAGATTATATATTGATAGGGAAGATGTATTGATCTTCTTTTATATATTTAGTTTTATACATATATCACAAAGAAACATAATAAAATTCTTGCATCTTTACTAGGTCAACTGGCAGCTATCCGATGGAGAAGCAAGTTAGGCAGACCTAGCAAAATACCATCGTTAGGCGAAGTAGATCCTACAGGAACCTACTGCCCTATGCCGGATGATTGGTTAAACCGCAAGTACGGTAAGGACATTACTGTTTTTATATATTTTTTTAATCACATACATGTCATGCATTCGTTGAATCATCGGTACTATTAAAGAAAGAAGTATAATATAAGATTATCAAATAATACAGGATCATTTAAAATCTTTAATGCAGTGTAACAGTTCGTTGTATTCATAAAAAAAACATGAACATTAACTTAGATTTATTACCTATAGATCTCGCAAAATAAAATTAACCTCCCTGTTATTTAATGGTATCTTTGGATATAATGGAATATTTTTCCTGCAATGCGATCTCCATGGATGTTATTCTGTAAGTTTCTCGTTTTTTCTCGATTTCTCCCTTAACTCTCTAGCACTCTCTGTGTCTCTTTTCCTCTAATTACACTAACTCTCTTGCCTGCTTCTATTCTAACACAACTTTTCGGATGTTTCATGGCCAACTACAGTGCCACAGTTAGGTAATATTTTGGACACTTTTCTATGGTTCTCTCATTTTTTAAAAACCTTTTCCATCAATATGAAAATTAGTCTTTATTAATTTCTTTTAACCAAATACATTTTTATAAATTATAGAATTATCTTTTTTATATTTTCTTTCGTATTTCTTACAAATTTTGTTTTTGAAATAATCATTTGGCCAGATTATTTTTCATCCATATATTAGGCAAAGTTGTTTGGATAAAATGATTTTTGTAGAATTTGTTAAACTCTACAAAATTCTCTTTAATAGTAAAGCTTTTTGTTTTTTCTTTATAATACTTTTTCTTTCATTTCAATTTTTTGTTAAAATTTCTTTTTTTATTTAAATTCATTAAAAATACATCACAATATACAATTTTGGTGTTCATGAACAATAAAAACAATTTACCTTATATTGCATTTAGTGTTTGCTAGTTTCATTAAGTAATTATGTAGCAATTTCATATTAAATAGGATTAACTTGCGGATTTAGATGGAATCTTTTGTTTTTTACAGTTGAACACGTTGCAGAGCCATCCACAAAAGACTTGGTATTCGGTATGTATTACTTTCAATTCATTGATTCAATTCATTCGATATTACTTTCAATATCAAAGAGTTTACATATTCACTAGCAAGTAATCGGTCGCGTTTTTATCTTATTTATCTCTTGTTGTTCACAAGATAAAAATTAAATAATACTTTTATTTTAAAAGATTTATCATTACTGCAAAGATTGATTAAATGATATAGATATATCTTGTTTTAAGAAAATTTTAATTAGATAAAATATGTAGAAGTTTTAAATACATATAATAATTTAAATCTCAATTCTGTTAAAAGTGCAAATAAATAATGTGGAACAATAATTGTATTTTTGCAGTCGCGATCGCGAATGCAATTCCGTTCGTTGGATTTGGTTTTCTTGACAACTTCATCATGATCGTTGCTGTATGTATCTTATGGACTTCCGTCATTTCCTATGTGCCAACTTTTAAGATTGATATTTCAGGGCGATCAAATCGAATTGATGCTGAACAGAAGGTTCCCTATCTCCACCATGGCAGCGGCAGCGCTAGGTAACACGGTATCAGACGTCATTGGAATCGGTTCGGTGCATTATGTTGAGATATTTGCTCAAAAAATCGGTTTCGAAGCGCCCAAATTAACTCTAGCACAACTGAATCTAAATAGGACACGGATAGCTGCGAATGTGGTACAATTTATTGCTTCGTTATACTTTATTTTATATTGAGCATATTTTTTTGTTTTATTATTGAGTACTATTATAGATAAAAATTTACATAAAAAAGATTCTTGGATAATTAAAAAGATGAAATCTTTTTCAGTGAAATTATTCAAGGAAATTTTTTTATTGATTACAGGGTCGAGTTATCGGTGTTACGATTGGATGCATTATTGGCATGACGCCTATACCGTTAGCCGCGCTTTTCCGCAATGATAGCTGAATTAGCCAAAAAAAATGACTGAAAAAAACGAATTAATTTAATTAATTTAATACAATTAACTTAGTATGTAGGCCGCAAATACCCCACAATAAGCGTTTTATTTTACACAAATGCCTATAAACTTTTATAATTTTAATGTTCAACTATCGTAAATAACACGATTTCCATCTCATCCAGTATCTATACTATATATATATATATATATATATATATATATATATAGTATAGAACTGTATAGAACAAAGTTTGTGCGCAATATTATGATTGTTTTTTAAAGGTGAAATAGGTTTTAAACTTACTGTGTTTTAATCCGATGCAAAATCTATTTAAAAAAAGAAGCTTGTAAATGCGACATTAGAGAGTTACTAAATTAGAATAAAAACTTGTTTTAATATCAGTCTTCCAAAAAGACTATTCATTATTCGTTCCCCAATATGTAATAATTTTTAGATATAAAACAGCATTTATAGCATGCGATATCGGATATTTATTGAGAAAAACAGATCTGTTAGTATCGAACATTCCACTGCAAAAAGTTAGTACAAAAAATATAGGTTTATATATCCTTTGAAAAAGATCATTTAACAGGCAAATTTTTATCAGCAAGCTAATAGTAAATTTTTAATTCTGATGACTGAAAGACACTTTCGTGATGTGATCGTCTCCAATTTTGTTCTAACCAATTTAAGGTTGTGTCTAGTATTTCCTTCCAATTTACATTGTGGCGATAGTCTTCCGGTGCGAAATTTTCTGTTTTCCTTATTTTCTCCAACTTTCTTATATTTATAGTTTGCGTCGAATTGAATGAAAAGTCGATGTTGATAATGCATAATTTGTCAGTGAAATTTGCAACCTCAACATTGCTCTCTAAGCAATACTCAGGCAGCCAAGTCATCGTTGAGTTTAGCCACCACTTCCAACTGGCTTCTTCATCATCATTATCGGTTTCCACAATTGCAGAATAAACTGCAATATTCTCGGAATCGGAAATTGGAAGACCATCATTGTTAATCTCCTGAGATCGTGTATTTATCAATGTATCAGTTAGATCGGTTGACGAAACATTTGTCGCGAGATTTATTGACAGATTCGTTGGTTGTCTTGAATTAAGTGATATCCCGGGTAAGCAACTTTGCACAATAAAATTGGCAATCAGAGTGGATCCCAGAAGAGTAGCCAATCCGGCAGCATAAGTCGCCAGGCAGATCGAAGACACACTAATTAAGGTTTGTGCGATTCTAATCAACTGAATGGAATTCATTAGACAACTCAATTCTGTATATGTGCACCATCTGCGCTTGTGTATTTCTCGATATGCCACGTTTTTTTCTAGTTGTTGCAGTCTTTCCCAAAAGTCTTGGTGCTGCACCAACACTGTCCAGTCCTATGGCATAAAAATGATAAAATACATTTTGATAAATGAACATAATCAATTGGTAACTAAATTATAAATTATATAAATTTTAGATAATGTATAAACGATTACTTACAATTGCAGCAAGAAAATCTTTTTCTAATTTATTCATTCGAGATATAGTCACTTGTCCTGAATTTGCCCACTCTTTATTGAAAACCTCATCTTCTTCGCCATCATCATGCAAAAATTTACTGGCTACCATCTAATAAGCGTTAACAAAAATTTATTCGTTAACTTAAATGATGTTAAAAGTGTTGTCACGTTGACATGTCAAAATAAAGAATAATAAATTACCAAAGAAACCAAGAATAGCTCAGACGGCGCAACTTGATGAAGATATTCCGGATTACAATTTTTTAATCTTTCAATATACAGCAAAGCCAACACAAGTGAGCAAGGGGAAACACATGCATTTCTAGATATT